GCACCGGAAGGGTGCTACAGCTGAACGCTTTCTTCTCTTTTCACCTGCAAGCATGGTGTGGGTATGATCCCACCTAGTCTTGTAGCAGCACTCTACACTTTGCAGGTGTGAAGCGCAGAATTATTCAGGTTATTGAAAATCGTCTGCATTTGGAAAGGATCTGAACAGAAGACCGCAATATCGTCTGCGAACGTCCCGTGAGCATTACGACTCCCGAGGTTTCAGAGGCAGTCGGAGAAATTTCAAGCAGCATATCAATAACAAAGTTGAGCAAGAAAGGTGAGAGGACAGCCTTGTCCTACACAACTGGACGTGGTGAACTCAGGCGAGAGCTGGCCGTGTACCCGTACGCGCCCACAAGAGTTCGCACACGGTGCCCTCATAAGGCGTATAAATTTGGAAGAGGCACCTTTGATTGCCAGACACCGCCAAAGTTTCTGACGATCGACAACATCGAAAGCGGCTTTCAGGTAAAGAAGAACGATCAACGTGGTATGTCTGAATAAGTGGTACTGTGCAAGAAATTGCCTCAAGGTCGATGCATCTTCGGCCAGGGTGAAACTCAGCTTGATTTTCACAGATCTGTCTCTCCTAATAATCCATCAACCTGCACAAAATGATGCCAGAGAGAACCTTAGATGCGACGGATACCAGGCCGATATCATACTGGTTTTCACATGGCATTCTTGCGCCCTTTTCGAAAACTGGGATGACAGTCGAGGAGCTCCATTCGGCTGGTATCCTGTTTTCGTTCTAAATCCTCTGCAGTATGGTCGTCAGAATGTTCGCCAGGATCTCGCCACCTTCTTTGAAGAGCGCGGAGTGTAGACCAACAGGGCCAGGTTTCTTGTCGCGCTTCAGGATTGATATCTCATGGTGGTGAACGGTATGAAGGCTGCGGCCCATGATTTTAGGCAATTTCAAAATGTGATCAATGCGAAATCATATGCTGTCCGACGCTCTCGAATTCGTATTTTGCGCTGTTGTGAGGCATTGGAAATAGTGAAAACCAGTGGCCATGTCGTAGCTGGCGGAAGGTGTAGCCCATTGCTTTGGCAGACCCTCCAGGAACGCTTTTAGTTTTCAATGACCTGTTATTTCCGCTTCTTGAAAATTCACCCTACACAATGAGAGCTGCCAGAAGAAGCAGTGGCCGCCCTTTGGTTTAGCTAAGGATCAAGAAAAAACGAATCATTTGTTTGTAATGAAGCACAACTGCAGGAAAAACGTGTTTCGCGATGATAAAATACCATCACGAGTCCTCGGCAGAGACACAAACATAGGCTGTATCACACAGAAAGATCGATCGTGAGGTTCACCTTGCCGTTCACGACTAGTAATGCTGCCACTCAGTGATCGAAAAATACCAGTGACACATGCTAGTGCTTAATTCAACCATAAGGGGAGGAAGCTTTAATAAAGAGTGGAAGGACAAACAAAAACTTAGTGCAAGGAAGTCCTATGTTCTTGGAAGACCATCAAGAAGAAAGTGTCTACACCTTGGAACAGCACTGGAATAAATAGATCTTAGAAGCACGTCGTAGTAAGAGGTCATCAGCGTGGATGATCTGGTGTCCACCGCAATTTTCCCTCAACATAACCTCAGCGCATAGCAGTTGAACTCTAGCTAGGTAGTGCGGATAGAGAATGAAAATGTGCGGAACACCTGGATCGGTTGCAGGATGCATCCTGGACGGTTTCCAGAGACGTGCAAAGAGAATCCCACTGGCCCCTTCCAGGAACACAAAAGATACCACAGCATTCATTTTGATTGTAGACGCTTCCATTCCGCGTGCACATAAAATAACCCCTTCCTATGAAACTTCAGTCAACAGCGGATTCGAAAAGAAAGTATTGCCTTCGTTGGCAGATCGCGGTTTGGTAAGTGTGGTGCACGCATGGGTAGAAGCTTGATAAGGGGGCGAGATGGCCCAAAAGGTTAGAGCGCGAATTTACTGACCGGAAGGTCCGTAGTTCGAACCCGACTTCTGCCTCTCGACTTCCCATGTCTAGGCTTGGGCAACCTGGCAGTATCCCAGCCCTCGTGCAACCTTCGGGTGGTATGGCAGCTAGGCAACGAAAGGATGCTACAGCTGAACAAGAAGCTTGATAAATATGATTTCTGAGACGAAGAATGTGGGTTACGACCATGGGACAGAGGTATCTACATTTAGCTAGTCGTTTTGTTAATGATACATTGTAAAAGAAGCGCGCAAAACCAACACCCAGTACAGAGCCACAAACCTCGGTTTGGAATTTTCGGAGCACCCTTCACGTCGAGGCTTGGATCTAGAACACTTCCAGAAAGACCTGGAAACAAAAGATTGTTGGACAAATATACATACATACCTGGCATTGAGTCGATGTTCAATATACTGGGTTCTTCGTTTACAAGTGGACTCAACCCTATTCGTTGCAGTGGACTGGAGTGACCAGAGTTATCCGAACCAGTGACAACCATATCATCATGCTGCACGACAAACGTACGGTGTTTGATCTTTTGAGCTTTCTGGGAGGCAGTTGAATGGGCGACCGGGACTGGAGTCCCTAGTACGGTTTGGTCACACGATGTGACGTTTGTTGTAGGACCTCTGACGAGCACCCTGTAGAGTAGTGGTGAGTCCCTGGCACCTTGCATTGGTTTGCGGCCAAGGAAGAGGGCTCGGGATAATCAAATGTAGAAAACGCACGAAAAGTTACACGAGGATGTAGACCCTAAAGTCAAGGAAAACACGGAAGGTGATAAGCAAAACGCCAATGGGATAAATCAGAAGGACGAAAGGATGTGAATAGTTACTAATATCAGAACGTACTTACAGGTTAGCCTGCAAAAAAAGTTTGGTTACCGCTGGTTCTGTTCGCCACCCGGAATAGGATGCACATCTCTATGGATAGCTGCCATGTCACTCAAAGGAAGTACAATGGCTTAGATACCGCCGGGTTACTCAAGCCTAGATATCATCATCATCCTTGTCAGCTGTAAGAAGCGCATGCTTGTCGTACAGCGGTTGTAGCTGCAACAGTTTCGTTCACCGGTGATTTGGGGAGGTCGGGTAGGTAGCTCCGCATTGGAGGCGGGAGCTGATAAATTAGTGCGTAAATACGGCACTGTCAGACGACTGTCAAATGGGGGGATTAAGAAGGGAGCTATGCATTGAAGGCAATAGCTTGGATGCATGACCGCAATTGAGGGCTCGACCAGACCATGTCTGACAATGTCTCTAGCCATTGATGTGGCCCATCTCGGGGCCTTCACCCAGGAAGATCGCAATGACCAGCGCAGCTGAGTTTGCTGATAATTGCTTTTATACTTCGCTGCCAAGCCATTGTTTGACCGCCGCTGACTCGTTTCCATCCTTCACGTGATTGTGCGAAAAGAACCCTTCGAGGAATTCGGTCGATTGGCATACGCAGCACGTGGCCAAGCCAGCGCAACTGATGCAGTGCGATCAGCTATCGAAGGTGAGTTATTTCTTCCAAATACCATTCGACTTACTTCAGCATTGCTGGGACGGTGTTTCCATCAGATATGGGCAATGCTCCGAAGATAATGAAAGTCTTTTGACGTCCCCAGCGCGCAACGGTCAGGTTTCTGATCCGTATAGTAGCATGGAACAAACCGTAGCATTGTAAACTCGACCCTTGACGGATAAGCTGATGTCACATCTACGCCACAGGTGACGCAGATCCACAAGAGCTGCTCTAGGCTTCCCAATCCAGCTAGAAGTATCATCATTCGCGAGATTGTCAGGACTGATACACCTGTCCAGGTAAACAAATCTGTCTACTGCCTCAATCGGTTCATCCGCAAGTATGAGGCTAGGGTTCGAGCCCACCAAGTCTTGCAGTAGCACTTTACACTTTGCAAGTGTGAAGCGCATGCCGAACCGCGAGACAGGATCATTTAGATTACTTAATATTGTTTGCATTACCACGGGGTCAGTTCCAAGAAGAGCTATGTCGTCTGCGTACTCGATATCTGTGAACGGGCGCCCAGGGAGCACTTCCACCCCACAGGCATTACAGGTTGATGTTCGTATCAATGACGAATTTGAAGAATGGTGAAAGAGGACAGCCCTGTCGGACGCCACTTGATGCGGGAAGCTCAAGCGAGAGCTTCTTGTAGACCTTCACACGGCCGCGGGAGTTGCCGTATAGCGTCTTAAGGAGGGTCAAGAATTTATGGGGGACACCTTTACTCCACAGACAGCCACTGCTGGTTGCTGGAAGCAGTGTCTCTGTTCCAGAATTTGTCGGTTTAAGATTTGATCGATGCATCCTCTTGCAGGACGGAACCAAGCTTGGTTTTTACGGATCTCTCTTCCTGTATTCACTCGGCCCTTGAAGGATAAGACCAGAGGGCACTTTCGATGCCACAGATAACAGGTTGATGCCACG